ACACACACACACACACACACACACACACACACACACACACACACAACACATCCTTTCCCCTTCCGTTCGTTTTTTTATGCCCTTCATCTGGGCACAGAAAACCTACTCCACCTCTTCGCACTCACTCTCCCTGTTCTTACCCCAGTCTGCCAACCTGTACAGTTGGGTGTATCACATTGTGTGACGTGCGTTGTCCTTAGAAATTGAAGATCCAGAGCCAACCAGGGATGCATTTTGCAGACTTTTCTCAAACAGCAGTGAGCCTCCTGAGCGTGCTTCTTTTTTGACGCTTTGAGTGCCATCGCTGTACGGGTGGCTGTGTCTGGCTGTCCGCCTTTTCCCACATAGTGTGCTCAGGGATGTACAGTGTGCAGAGCAGGAATCTGGCACGCACCATGCAGCCTGTGCGAGCAAATCCTGAGCTGCTAGACCACAAACTACTCCATGGCCTTCAGAAAAAGGACCTGAATAATCACCAAAAGTGGGAAGAACTGACTCTGAAAGGTTGATTTCCTTCAGCTCAGCTGCCTTTAGTTCGCCTGCTCGTCATGATTCCTGACCTATTCTCTAACAAATTGGACTTTGAGTCAGATGGCTTTGAAGTTTGACCATTCGAGTCGTGGTTGTTAGTTCCACCAGTTAAATTGTTTAAAAAAATAAAACTAAAAAATGTTGCCCATAAGTGTTGACTCTCATGGACATGCACAAGCAATCCTAAAGCTTGCATCACAGATCACATTGTAGCAATGGTAATGGTGGACGTGGTGGTGGGGTAAGCTTCCTCATTCACAGAGGGCAAGAGCAGCAAGAAACATCTTTGTCTTTCCTTCACAAGTCTCATTTATAGTATGAGCCTCCAATCATTGGAGAAATTGTCCCTGTGGAACCTCTGCACATGCGGGCACTTCAGCATCAAAGGACCAGAAGAGGCAACAGGGAAGCCCAAAGGGTCTCCCCATCATGCGGGAGCTAAACAGCTCGCAAGTGGTCACTATGTAGAATGCAATGAATTGCAGTTTTGCGGCTGGCTGTACACTAGCGAGTAGGTCTGCCCACTTTTCTTAACTGTAGGTCCGGCTGGGATTTGATCCCTAGACCTGTCTGCAATCAGACTCGTTTTCAAACACACTTTTCACACATGTAAACAGTAACGCAGCACACTGGCGACAGGCGCCCACTCACAACTCAGAGATATGGTTTTCAGATACGAGTTCACTCCCAATTGGCTATGGCGACCTCAGCGCACAAACATCTCACTGTTCACATACACTGGATCACCCTGGATATCCCACACGCATCACTCTAACACTCGAGCACACACACACACTCACTACTAACTA